AGTAGAGACGGGGTTTCACCATGTTGACCAGGATGGTCTCGATCTCTTGACCTCGTGATCCACCCGCCTCGGCCTCCCAAAGTGCTGGGATTACAGGCTTGAGCCACCGCGCCCGGCCTTGAGACGGAGTTTTGCTTTCATCGCCCAGGCTGGAGTGCAGTGGCGTGATCTCGGCTCATTGCAACCTCCACCTCCTGGGTTCAAGTGATTCTTCTGCCTCAGCCTCCCGAGTAGCTGGGACTACAGGCATGCACTACCACACCTCGCTAATGTTTGTATTTTTGGTAGAGATGGGGTTTCACCATGTTGCCCAGCCTGGTCTCAAACTCCTGGCCACGGGTGATCCACCCACCTCAGCCTCCCAAAGTACTGGGATTCCAGGCATGAGCCATTGCGCCTGGCCTGTTTCAGTGTTTTGTGTGTGTGTGTGTGTTTTTAATATTTTATTTTTAAAAAATAAAGACGGGGTTTCACCATGTTGGTCAGGCTGGTCTTGAACTCCCGACCTCAGGTGATCTGCCCGCCTTGGCCTCCAAAGTGCTTGGATTACAGGCGTGAGCCACCACGCCCAGCCTGTTTCAGTGTTTTGTTTGTTTGTTTGTTTAAGAGACGGAATCTTGCTCTGTCGCCCAGGCTGGAGTGCAATGGCGCGATCTCAGCTCACTGCAACCTCCGCCTCCTGGGTTCAAGCAATTCTCCTGCCTCAGCCTCTCAAGTAGCTGGGACTACAGGTGCACACCGCCATTCCCAGCTAATTTCTTTTGTGTTTCACTTTGTTGCCCAGGTTGATCTTGAACTCCTGACCTCAAATGATCTGCCCGCCTCAGCCTCCCAAAGTGCTGGGATTACAGGCATGAGCCACCACACCTGGCCTGCTTCACCGTTTTAAATTTAAATCACAGATAAAGACGATCTGTGGTCACACAGAGTGATGGGGTTGAAGTAAGTCCAGCTCTGTTGCTTCAGTGTTGCAATCCCAGTGCTGTCGTTGTTCATTTCTAATCTGGTTAACAAAGGAGAATGCAATTCTGCAGGGGTGGGACACATCGACGACACCTGAGGTGCCTCAAATAATCCGGCACCTTAGAAACGAACTCCCAGAATGAACAGCAGTGGCCAGCCTTGTGCTGGGAGCTGACTGTGCAACTGGGGTTTTCCAAATTAACTGCCACAAAGAATGCAATGTTTATCAGGATGAGTAATAAAAACGTGCTAATTTGAAGCTTACATATGCATTATTATAACTCAACAGTAAGCAGAAATTGTTTAGAATAGAGACCAACCAAAACAATTTTCAGGGACATTGTTTAGAATTGCGGATGCATGCTGTAAATAATCAGCAGACCAACTTTTCGCCAGTTTTATTATTGTCTGTAAATTTCCTACGGATACTGCCTGTCCTCACTGCCTGCCCTGGGTACCACACTGATTTCTCATGGTGCAGGAAAAAGGAACACTGTTTTCTTGGCTTAAGCGCTAAGCCTTCTTCGGACCTCACTGCGCCAAGAGGCTGAATGGAACCTCCAGGGCTATGACTGGTGGAGAGAGGACCTGGGGAAGAGAAAATTCCACAAAGGCCCCCAAAGGCTTTACTGGATATAAAGTAGAAGGAGGCTTCCCTCTGTCCGAAGGCAGGGCAGCTTGCAAGGGATTTGAGAGCAGGGCCAGCCTAGACACAGAAAAAAAGCAGCACAGACCCCAAGTGGGCCCCTGTGCAGTCCCTTCTCCCCTGGGGTACACCAGCCCCCTGAGCCCGGACTCCCAGAGAGACTTGTCCTCCCTCCCAGCCCTTGGAAGTCCCTACACTGATCTTACCCCCTCATCCAGGAACACACCCCCCACCTGGATATCATGGCACAGCTGGAGACCAGCCATGTGTCACTCCAAGTGGCTGGCCCTGCAAATTGAGGGGATCTGGGTGTTTCCTGCCATGTGGTGGTGCCAGGCTGGTGAAGGAGTGAAGTCACCAGGAAGCAGAGAGGCAGCAGGAACAAGAAAGCAAGAAAGAGGCCACCCTGCTCACAGCCTCTAACCACCCTGCATCTGCTCCCGCACCTGGTCACTGCTGCCTACGCAGGGGACCTTTCTACCCTGAATGCCCCAGGCTGCAGGCAGCCTCTCTGTGACCAGAAGACTCGGAAGTACCTCTGTGCTTTGGAGTCAGGAGAAAGGGCTTCAAGCCCTGCCTGCCCCTGTTTGCCCTCAGGCAATGTTTCACCCCCCCCCAAAAAAAAAAAAAAAAAGAGACTGGAGCTAGGCACAGTGGCTCACGCCTGTAATCCCAGCATTTTGGGAGGATGAGGTAGGTGGATTGCTTGAGCAGGAGTTTGAGACCAGCCTGAGCAACAGGGTGAAACCCCGTCTCTACAAAAAATACATATAAAAATTAGCCAGGCATGGTGGCATGTGCCTGTAGTTCCAGCTACTCAGGAAGCTGAGGTGAAAGAATCACTCGAGCCTGGAGAAAGTCAAGGCTGCAGTGAGCTGTGATCGCACCACTGCACTCCAGCCTGGGCAACAGAGCAAGGTCCTGTCTCAAAAAAAAAAAGAAAGAAAACCAGGGCTGGAAGGCTGAGTAGGGCAATGGTGCCTGTGAGGATACCTGGTGAGAGGGTGGGCTTTCGGTCTTCACCTCCCGCTCCCCTCCTTCTGGGCAAATGCTCATGGGCACATCCAAATAGCAGGGCACAGTGCCATTTGCCCTTAGCCCCTCTTCCCTGGCCCCCCAACCAGGAAGGGGCTGGCCTGCTACCTAGAGTCAGCTTCCACCGTTTCATAGGAGCCTTTCGTCTCCTGCCACCAAAGGCACCTATGTAGCATTTTCAGCAGTCCCAGTGGAGGAGGCATTCAAGGACT